AGGTCAGGACTCTGGGGAGGCCAGTCCATGACCGATAGTGTTACATTGTGTTTTTCTGTTCAGGTATGCTTTGCATATGCATTGGCAGGGTGTTTGGAATCATTGTCATTGCTGTAAAATGTAACTGTTGTCAATCAGATGCATTGCAGATGATACTGCATTGTGGATAAAAATCTAATGTTACGTTTCTGTGTTCATAATTTGATCTCCCCAACACCACTGACTGAAATGAAGCCCAAACCACGAGTGTCTCCACTGTGTTTTACAGATGACTGTAGACGCTCACAGCTGGAAGCCTCACCTGACCGCATTCCTTCTTATTTTCAGTCCAGTTCTTGTGTAATTTGGCCTGTTGCTCAAGAGCAACAAAGCCCGATATCTTGGAAGCAAAACATAAAGAAACTAGTGGTGGCTCAAGACGTATGCACAGTATTGTAGATGATAGTTAGGAAGATTATTTTTTTAATGACACAGCAGCATTTAGTTGTTGTAAAGCTTGCGTACACTGGAAGCAATTCTCTCCACTTATCATTTTGAAGTGTAGGCTGGTTATTTGCAGACATTCCAGGCTCCAGTTGCCTAGGTAACCCCCTAATGTATTTACTACCAAGTCATATGTCAGTCATTGGTATCCAGCACTATTCAGAAAAATGGATCTTAGGTCCCGCCCACTTGGCTTCATCGGCGGTAATTTTGCCCTCAGTCACAAAATGACCACCGGTGATGGTAGCACAGCGACGTAGCAAGTGAATGACTTACTACGTCACCGTGAATCACTTCCAGTGTGGATGCAGCCTGATGGTTATACGTATATTTTATTTATATCTGTAATTTATATTTTATATTGTGATTTTTATCTGTATCATGATTTTACTGGAAAGCACTTTGGTGTACTTCGGTCTTTAAAAATGTGCTATATAAATAAATTTTGATTGATTGATTGATGTCTAACAATATAAATCCCAACGGTTCCATAGTGCTCCTGCCATTTTCACTTGTATTCAAATATGTTTAAGTCATTATAGTGGTCATGTTTTCATGTCTTTGGTAAAACAGGACATGTCAGATGCCTTTCCTCAGAAATAAGCATTGTAAAACCTCAAAAATAAACTTTACCTGCCTCTGAAAGGTCAATAAAGGATTAATAATCAATTTATTAATACGACAGTGGCTATTTAGACACTCCAAGTAGACCTGCAGTTTAAAATTAAGTATAGTTATGGGAAATTTGTGATTTGGGCCAAAAATGTTACCGACTGTTGTGAGGTCTTGAAATATGAACAGTATATAAAGATTAAATTGTGTCAAATGTTGTGAATAGGGATTTGTCACAATGTTAAACCTGAAGGAAATCACCTGAATCACCAACTTAGCTTAACTTCATCGAGCCACACGACTAATTTCAGATTTGTTTTGGTTCATTCTGGTAATTCTCACAGTATCGTTCAGCAGACAGTGAATTTTCAGTCAGACTGGTGACAAATAGAAAACAGTCACAGCTGGTGAAACGTCTTGTGGCATGTAGGAAAAAGATAGATTTTCCCTCATCAGTTATAAGAGATCAAAAATGTGCAATAAGACATTAATGGTGTTCATTGTTTACTGGATGTGTAAACAACTGCTTGCTTGTCACACATTAGTTTCCACTGTTTTTGTTCCCTCTCTAAGGATGTTGCACAATTGTGGGTGAGTTTTATAAAAGGTATCAAACACACATCCTTTAGAGTTTTGAAATGGAAAGAGGAGCCACGGCATCCGGCAGTGATCTCACCTGAATATTGCCTCATTGGCACAACTGTCTCCTCGGCATCCCATTAGGAGACACGTTGGGTTGTATGTGTGTGTGTTTGTGTGCACGTGTCTGAGCACGCGCATGTGTGAATGGATGGACTTCATGAATGAAAGCTGGGTTTTTTTGTTTTTTTTTTCCCAAGCTGCAGACAGGAGGTGAGATCATCTTGTTGGGATGGAGACTCCCCCCACCCACTTGCAACACCCTCCCATTGCACATCAATGCTGGTTGGTGCCAATCTTAATGAATCCCATCGACATACAATATGGATGAAGCAAACAGTACTGACAACCTGATTAATGAAAGTGCTGTCCAATATCAGCCTCCCCCAACAAACGGGAAGAAGTCACTCCGCAGTGCACATTGGCACAGGTGCGCAAAAATGCAGACACACACACCTTTCTTCAGTCATTAGAAAACTCCAAAAATGTCTGCCGCTCTGCTGTTGGCTTCCAGTCAACACGATGATGAAGCAAAGTGTGAAAATCATCTTTGCTTCTTATGTTCAACTTTGCCTTCAGCAGCAGAGTTGAGTGAGCTTTAATGATGAGCCACCTATTCAGCTACGTGTGAGTGAAAGTGACAATGAGTAACACAAGGGCCTCTCGATGAGGATCCATAAATAGCCTTTCAAGTAAGCCAGAAGCAACCCTCCCCCTCATCCTCTAGTCTACATCCCGCCACACACACACACGTATACCCTACCACCTTCCTGCTAACCGGACTTGGACAATCTGTGTCCACTTGGCACGAGGCCTCAAAAAACATACTGTATATTCAGCAGCAGAGCCGTGCATGCGCACATGCACACACATGACATTCCTCTTGACATTCTTCACTGCAGGAGTCTGTTAATTCCCTCCTACAGATTATGATACATGTTGCCAAACAATGCTGCATTTTTACATCAGCTTTTTGGATGGACGCCACAGTACCTCTGTAGTCCAACTGCTCTTTAGAAGTTTGATTTTCATTTTAATATATATATGCAGAAAGAGTTTACGTTCTGGAGGTGTAATTTGCCAGGCAATCTGAATTCCAAATCTATTGTGTAATTATTTTAAAAGTAAATGGGATCCCCATCGAGTATCGTTCTTAAAAGCTGTCACTGTGCAGGCTGACGGCTTGTATCTAAAACACGCGATACCCTTCAGCGTTGCTTCTGTTCCTGTTTCTGGTGGAGTTACCACAACAGGAGCTGAAGCTGTGTTGGTGGACATCAGAGGCAGCAGCGTTAATCCTTAGAGGCCTGAACATCACTGGCGAGAGGCCTTCCTGCAACTACAAGGTCCACTGAATAAATCATGAAGAAAGTTTTAACGAAAAAGATTGAAATAGAGGAAAAAAACAGAGAGTGCTTCTCTATTCAGACCGCCTTAAGACACAGTGAGAAGAGGATTGTAGATGGGGATGGCATAAAATAGCAAGACTGATTAAAGCTACTGAGTTTTCCTTGCAAAGCCCACAGTTTCTCCTTCATGTGATATTAAAACCCAAATGAAACATTCATAAACTGCTTTTTGGCAAGGGTGTTCTGAATGTTCATTTGGGAGAGTAAACTATGAGATAATGCTCCTTCACATTTGAAAATGAAAATAATAAGCATTAAAAATTACTATCAAAATAAAGTAATTAAATATTTAGAAGTACTGAAAAGGATCATTTAGTCTCTCACAGAGTCTGACTGTGTTAGTTATTAAATTGTTAATAGGCCCAGTATTAGTTTGCTATTCCTCTTGGTCCCCTTTGATGGACAGAATTATAAAAGAACTCTTGTTTTCAGTCTACTTCTTTATTACAAATCTTATTTCAAGCTTTAAAAAAAAAATGAAAATATGTCTTGTTTTCACTTGGCGAGGATTCGGGTAGCACAGAATGACTCAAAGATGAATAAATGAAAACAGAAGCAATCAGTTTCTCCTTGCTCAGATTTCATGAGGGGCATCAAACTGAGCCGGCACAGTGATCTTTTTTTCATCGTGACTTCATACAGCATTCATTAGTAGGAGGAGAAAGTAGAGAATACTCGTGTTTGTGAGTGGTTTTCAGGTCTCTCCGTGGATTGTCTATGCGCTAGCTAGGATTTCCCTACTGTGTACAAGCGGCACAATGAGGTCATCGTTATGGATTTAAGCCCAGCACGGGCTTAATCTGGGAGATAAGGGCTGGATTTGGATTTACCACTCAAAAGGGTCATGTAGCTACAACCATTTACACTCTCAGTAAAGACAAAGCTCACCCACAGCATCCTCAGCTGTTTCACGGCCCTTTATGCTTTTTAGCTGGAGGTTCTCCACTGTTTACACAAATTATTCATCTTGCAGCATTTCTCTAAATGTCGGCAGTTTTAAGTTGTAATGTTGTTGTTCAGTGTCAATATTCCCATGAATTGGCTTGACAAAATCCTGAAACATCCTGGAAAAAAATGGATTGAATATGGTTAAAGTGTTGAAAGTGTTACTTCTTTATTTTTGGTACTGTTAAAAACAAAAAGTCTGAAAATCCGATCTGATTGCAAGTTTAAAGGAAGCCCTCTGAACAATAGGTAGCGGAGACACTCTGTTTTTGTGAAATAATATAAAAAGTTTGTCCTCATCAGAGTTTCTCCTTTCTGTACTTTTAATAGTCTAGTTTTGTTTAAAATGTATTTGCATTTGTTGCATCCTGGATCTTGTTTGTATGATATTTGGGGTGTTGGAGAACCATGTGTGCCCTGTACGCTGCAAGGCCTTGAAAATACCTTGAATAATAACTTTATTTAAGGTGAAGGCAGTTATCTGCTGGTGGCGTGGTTCCTCAAACAGAGCTGAGCTTTGTGTTAGAAAAAATGACAGTTGTTTAAATGAGTTTGATATTTTATTTCATTCAGGTTAATTATGGTCGCTTAGGGAAACAAATGACGCTGGGGGACAGTCCCATTTAGGTTCTGCATGTGCTGTCCTGTCTCACAGAAATGGGTCAGGAGAGATTGGAGATGATGATGATATAATTATTTTTTTTTTTTTAAAACAAACAAAAAAAACGTCCTTCCTTCATGTCCCTTTTGTGGCAGACGGAGTCTGCAGATTATCCATCAATTACTCTGCGCTCTGTTCAGAGGGCGTTAATAGGTTTTGAGGGGATTTAAATGGTGCTGTCCAGTCAAATGCTGCATGCTTTGAGAATGACATCATTTTGGTCACCTCACATGCCGGCTGACCCTCCTCCCTGCTCTAAGAGTAGCCTCACTCGAGCCCGTGTACCTGCGGTTGTCCCGTCTCTCACCGGACTGCACTCGTCACTCCAGATTTCTCCTCTGATAGGAGGGCATCAGCGCTCCCTCCCTCCCACACAGCCTCGCTTCGCTCTCTCCATCGCTCGTGTTTACTACAGCCTGGGAGAGATGGTCGTATAAATTGCCTGGGAGTGCGCATATCGCAGCATCCTCAGAGGGGAATTGAAAAGGGGGAGGAGGTGTAGGATCAAGAAAACAACCCAAACAAGGAAAAATATCTGCGTTTTCTATCGTTTCAAATTAACGCAGGAGAAAAACAGACCTCCACAGAGCCCTGCGATTGGAAACCCGCACTGGATGTAGAGAAGGCTGAGCGCGGATGCTCAATACGCGGACAGGAGGACAAGGGAGAAAATCAGAAAGGACCAATAAATCCTAGAGAGGAATAATCTTTTGCAGTCATCAGCGATGGACTCCAGTTATCGGCATTGAGGTAGGAATCGTCAAATTGGCTTCTTCCAGTCGAGTTGTTAGGCAGGTAGGCATGAGGAGAAGCGGGTGGTCTTTGCATAAAATAACACGTTACTTCTTTTATTTTTTCCCCCAATTTAAAGTGCCATCGTGCGTTTGAGTGTAACTTCAGTGCTGTCAGTGATGCTCCACTGGCGCTCCGGGTCGTAACCGCAGGAGGTGCCAGGAGAGGCAATGATGCGCCTCCGATACATCCACAATGCGCTGGCCTGTAACAGACCGTAGCTGCTCCTGCGGCTCCCGCAGCTGACACCTCGAAATAAAGAAAGTGAGAAACGGAGCAGGACTATTAGGAGGCAGGATCAGTCGGATGTGACTGATGTGTACACCAGATGTGTCTTAGTGGTTGAGTTTCTCTTAGTGCATCACATAATAATGAGGGTGGTTTTTCCAGACTTGGGGGTTTGTTGTTAGTTTCTTGGATAATGAAATCTCCAGGCTGACTCTGCCTTGTTTCAGAGTCTCTGATTAATCTGAGGACAGGGAATTATGGATGTTTATATGCATCTTGGGTAAGTCGGCTAATAGCTCATTCATCAGACATCAGCACTTTACTTCTAGTGGGAGTGTCACAGTGGGATGGTTGATGTAGCCTAATGGTAATTCACTCAATTTTCCTCAAATTGACCTCCAAATTGACTGATGTAGAAATGCATGAAGTGCATCTCATAATGACTGAAATGGGAATTGATGAGCTCCAAGTTCGGGATTTTAACAAAAGTATCCTGTTTTCTTATTGTGCAAGTTTATTGTCCCATCTACTCCAAACCTGTGCTCTGCATTGCTGTGACTGTTCCTCATATTCTGCTGGTTCTTTATCAAAAACTTGAACATGATGATGATAGTACTACGAACATTTTGACTTGTGTTCTTGTTTTACCGAGCATGTAAATCCTGTTGTTGCTTGTCCATCAAAGGAGTGGTTTACTTCAAGAGGCTCTGGTGAGAAATGATGCATTTTTCTTCTCCATTGAGTGTGCAGATGCTGCTGCCCTTGGAAAAATGTACAGCTTTCATGAACCCTGCAGAATTTGCTCATTATTTTGTAATCTTATCCATTTTAATGTCACTCGAGTAAGATGTGAATAAACAGCTGTCTCACCATTAGGACTACAGAGCAGCAGTGAGTTAATCCTGCCGAACTAAAAGCAATGCAACGCTAAGCATGTAATACTCTGTAACAGTGTGATACCTAACAGTGTCAGTTTATTCTAAGAACGGGGGGTTGGTCTCTTTATTTTCTGTGCCCTCCACTGAAGGCTTAGCTATTTTGCTGCAGACAGGATGTTCTTTTATCTCATAACCATTTTTCACATTTTAGTGTTTTATATCTACCGACTGGCATCTACCCAGTTGATGTCAGTCTCCCGACTACAGGGTACATGTGGACTGACACCTGTCACCTCCACTTGTACTAGCCAAATTATGAGAGAGCTTGTTTACTGTGTTTGTAAGAAATGCAGAAAACGATTATTGTCTGTGGATTTTTGTATCTATATATTTTTATTCTGATCTTGAACTCCATCTTTTCCTTTGGTATCTGTGGAGGAAGTCAAAACCTTTAAAATGCAGTTTGGTGATATTGATGAGAGGCTCAGGAAGATGTGCTTTGTCTGCCTATCAGACTTAGACTACAGACTTGTGTTGCACATATGACGTCATAGTAGCCAAAGCTTCTTTTTTTTCTTTTACTTAAAATGGAGCTAAAGATGACTACGCTCTCCTGCAAAATCAGCCACTGCTGACAACTTTCAGAAAGAGTTCATTTAATCTTGATTTCACTCATATTATTTTATTTAAATTCCCTTCTTTCCCTCTTTTCCAGTTTTCTTCAGTTATTCTGATGACCACAGTCACTCATGGCCCTCATGCATGAACCTCGCGCCCCATCGCCCTCTCTTTCCGGCTTCAACACACCCCTCTCCGATCCTCCGTCTTTTCGCCGCCTCGATGCCGAAACACCCTGCACGCCAGAAATGGACTTGACCCCAACCCAGTGCGTTCTTCGCAACGTCCTCTCCATAGACACCGGAGGTGCTGTGGAACCCGGGGGTGGAGGAAGAGAGGGGCACACTACTGGACACAACCAGACACCCTGCGAGGAACAACAGGAGCACTTTGCCAACAGTGTCCTGAAACTCCATGAACACGATGGCGGTCCTGGAAGGACGGAGGGAGAGGGACAGGATATGGACAGCAGTGCGGTCAGGAGCCAGGCGAATGACGCCAGGTTACAGTGCCAGTCTACAGGAGGGGGAGGAGGGTTTTTGGAGGGGTTGTTTGGGTGTCTGCGGCCTGTCTGGACAATGATCGGCAAAGCCTACTCCACAGAGCACAAGCATGACCTGGACGGTGAGTCGAACCATCAGATTTATTTCAGTGTAAATGACTGAACACAAATATGCCTGAATTCTCACTTTTGCTTTTGCAATAAAAAAACAACCCCTAGCTCTCAATTAAATTTAATGATAAGCTTTGATATGCTAATTAAATGATCTTATCCCCCAGTTTAATTACATTAAACAGACAGTAGGTAAATGACTCCCGCAAAGGCCACGTTGTAAACAAACCCCTTCCTGACATGAACGAGCTGCAGCCAGCGAGGGAGACTCTATCAGAGCTGTAAAGGGCTTATTTTCCCCTGATATTTCCCCCCCATCCTTTTTCCTGCTCGTGCCCACCACCCACTACCACCCCCACAGTGAAACTAGCTCCCTGTGACGCTGTGTTGTTTATGTGTGCAGCCACTACAATAGCGCAGGGCTCCCCTGAGACCCCTCTGCCAAATCTGCCTCATGAATTATGCATGGCCATGCTCTGACCCTGCGCCTCTCATCTCTATTAACACAAACCTGACACACGCATGAGGATGAACGCGTGCACACATAAACACGTCCGCAAATAGAAACATTTCATATCTGCCGCTGACATAAACGCATAAAGTCATATAAGGTGCCAAAAACAAAAGTTGATGAAATAAATAGAGCATCAGACATCAGGCACCAAGGTGGCAGCTTTACACTTCTCCTCATCTTTATTGCCTTCTGATGTTTTATCATCCATTTGACTTCCATGTATCCCCTCTCCTCCCCTCCTTTTTCCATCCCTCATTGTCTCCCTTCCTCTCCTTTTCATCCCGTGCTGTTATCACTCCCAGCCCATCTGCACCTCGCTGTTCCCCTCCTCTCTGCGCCATCACGGGGAGTCTCACGCACACCAATAAGAGCAAAACGGATATTATAAAAGTGAAATAAATGGGCCTTTTGTAACCAAATCCTCGGCCACTATATAACAATACCGACTCTTTTTTTCAGTATTGACTGGAACTAACAATATATATCTGTAAAAAGCTGGTCCTCTATTGATTCTGAAGGACTGAAGGTATCTGGTAATGCGCTAAATTGTCCCCTCTTTTTTGTTTCAAATGAAACAAAGACACACGGAGATTCTGGTTTATCAGATGTGGCTTCATGTCTTTATTGAGGAAAATTTGAGGGGCTCATTAGAGACTGAGCCCACAATCAATCACCGGCATTAATCATTCATTTCATCCTTATTAATATGATAAATGTGTCTGAAGCTTCTTTCCCCGGGTTAAAAACAGCAGCAGGGTAGGCTGTCTATCTTCTCTCTATTAACAGTCTGTCTTCAGCCACATGGACCCCTGCTGACCGGTGGGGAATCCCCCTCCCATCTTTTCTCTTTGCACACAGACACACACACACGAGTGCTATCCAACCACCTCCCGTTCACCATACATCCACATTCAGACTCTGAAATTCCCTCCCTCTTCCAGCCCCCTCCCGAGCGCTGGACCCCTGTTTTGCGTCAGCCCCACAATGGCACTAAGGAGGATTTAAGAGGCTGAGAGAGAATTAACTGCAGGAGATTAGAGCTTTATGTCTGTCTGCCTGCACACCCCAGGCTTAGGTTAAGGTGAGGTTCAACAGCAGAACAAGATATCAACTGGGGGATTCCGTTTTGAGATTTTACTCTAACGGGTTTAGCCTTTCGTTGCAGCACGCCAGCGACTGTAATGATGCTGGATGTTTCACGTGTTAGCAGGTTTGGGTTTATACTCGGTCTTTTTGGTGTTTTATGTTTGCTGTACTTACACACAGCAGTGTAAACACTGATGTTTAGCAAATGTCATGTTTACCACATATAATCACTTAGTAAGGATGCTAAAAACACACAAACCAGACAAAAAGTGGGGGGATCCCCAGAGTTTCGAGGATGTGTCACCTTGAAAACTTGTAGCAATGTCTCAGCGACCCACTTTGAACCACAAAGAGAAGTTGTCAGGGAATCATTAAGGTCCCTATTACGCATTCATTAGAGAGAATACATATCAGTTTAAAAGCTGCTGAGATTTTAAAGTATATTAGACAAACGACACAAGGGGCCTAATCTGTGTCACATCAAATGTCCCATAGTCTGGTAGCCAGGCTGACTTTTCAACATCACCAAACAAAGACCTGCAGCTACTTTCAAGCATCATTTTGCAGCAGAGTTTCATCATTCAGCATGACAAAACATGTCAGTAGACATTAGTGAAACCATTCCTTTCTTCTATATGCGCTTTTTTTTTTCTGGCTTCAGAGGAGTGGGAAGTCCCATTCGAGGAGATATCGGACCTGCAGTGGGTGGGCAGCGGAGCCCAGGGCGCCGTCTTCCTCGGTAGATTGCACGGCCAGGAAGTGGCTGTGAAGAAAGTGCGGAACATCAAAGAGACAGACATCAAGCACCTGCGGAAGCTCAAACATCCCAACATCATCACCTTCAAGTAAGCAGATGTGATCACTTGGCTTAGGTGGAAATAGAGAGGCTATCAATAATGGTTTCAGTCATTTTGAATAGGAAGAATGTTCTTTGATGGAATAAGATGAACATTTGGGCACTTAAGCTTTCACTTGTCTACATTTGTAACGGCAAACATTGCAAATTCAAACATAACCTTTCTTTACTCTGTCAGAGGTATCTGTACCCAGGCTCCTTGTTATTGTATCATCATGGAGTACTGCGCCCAGGGACAGCTGTACGAGGTGCTGAGAGCAGGGAGGAAGATCACGCCATCCCTGCTCATGGACTGGGCCATGGGCATCACTGGAGGCATGAACTATCTTCACCTCCACAAAATCATCCACAGAGACCTCAAATCACCCAAGTGAGCTTTTTCTTTTTTTTTTAGTACATCTAAGTTTAATTTTTTTAATTTATGTTTTAGTGCATTATAGAAACAGTGGAAGGGTGAAGAAGCAATGAAAGAGATGCAGTGGCTTCTAGATTAAAAGAAAAATAACAGAAGTGGGTCTTTCTCCATTCTGTTTGTTTTAAATAACCCACAAATGTTAACGCTTTACCCTTTGAAAACCTACTAGGAGAGGTTTTTGTCATATTTCAGACTTCTTATAAATCAAAATACTGGGTTTGCATCAAAAGTTAGTGAGGCTGGTCTCTGCCTTGCAGCTACCCTTGGAAAAGCCCAGAAAGTATTCTAATGGTTGTTAAATGTCTTTAATGCTGTATAAGAGTACAAGGAGCTGGTCACATGTTGTCTTTGTGGGGGAAACAGTTCAGATTTGTGATGCTTATATCCCAAACCACAGCTTCAGAACCACTGCTTTAGTTAATTGCAATTATCAGCTATGATCATTTGTATGATTTGTGAGGAAATTAATTAATGTGGAAGTCCCCAAATGCCTGGTCAGGGTTTGACAAAACATGAAGTGCTAATGTGTTTTATTACTGACTGTTTAAACCTGATGGATGGGATGTTTCATTCCAGCATACTGATCACCTATGACGACGCAGTGAAGATCTCTGACTTTGGCACATCTAAGGAGCTCAATGACAAGAGCACTAAGATGTCCTTTGCTGGCACTGTAGCCTGGATGGCCCCCGAGGTCATACGTAATGAACCGGTCTCGGAGAAGGTGGATATTTGGTGAGTGTCATAACTCCTCTGAACTGTCCCTTTGCATTATTGAAATTTTACCATAAGAGTTTTCTTATCTGTCACCAAATCAACACAGAATCTCATTAGTTGCCGTCTACTACGGTGCAGAGTGAAGGATCCTGTTCCCAGCCAATCTATTCAGCATTACAATATCTCATTACATGAAATTCTATAGGGTCTCTGCTATTTCTGACGGGTTGCCCTCTTATGAGCACTGATTTTTTTTTCCCCCTCCACACTCTCTGCCTCTCTTTTTCTCCTATACTGTATTCCTCCACCAGTCTTCCTCTGTGTCCTGAAAGAAACGCTAGCTAATTTAATAATTGATTTGCCAGATGCTGCAGTGCTCAGGAGAGGCTGGAATAACCTTCCGAGCCTATGGATGCTTTGGCCCAGAGCCAGCAGTGCATTAGCAGAGAAGTGAAAATAGGATTAAAAAGCTTTTGATGTAGAAGCAAAGCAAAACATGGGAGTGTACTGCACAGTTTTGTTTAAATATATGTAAATCGCTTAGCAGTACTGTTTCTGACAGGAGTGCTGGGGGAGGAGAGGCTGTTGTTAAGTATTTACATGTGTTGTACATATTTGATTTAGTTATGACATACATTTCCTGAATGTTTTTAACGTTGTTCACGAGTCGAGAGAAAAAGACTTCCACAAATCATTTCTAAGCCAAGGGGAAAATACATGCAGTGCCTTGGGATCATCAGTACATATTCTCCTTTAATATAAAAAATCGTGAACATGGAGATGGAAGGACTCATTTTGAAACACAACATCATAAACCAACCTAACCTTATGTTAAGGTGCTGTTGGCACCTTGGATATTGTACACGGTCTCCATCGCAACCCAGAGAATCACCAGCAACAGACTTTCCTTAGTTACCGTCCCCACGGGTGCGCTCTCTTCTTCTTCTAGTGCTAAACTGAAACAGTGAAGCGTAATGGAATAAGTGTTATTATGGCTCTTATCGGCTGTATTTCTTGAATCGTTAAAATGATTAGCGAACATTGTTTCTTCCAGAATTAATTAAAATATCCCATAAAACATTAGAAAAATTAGAGCTGGTTCACATGATCCACAACTTCCTACATAATCCTTATTTATAAGCCAGAGTTGAAATGGTAATGTTGAGGACTGCCACTTTTAATGACATCATAGATGACATAGGAGCAGAAAAAACATATCAATACTCTTTGTCATTTCTTTAAAGTAGTCGTCAGAAACGTTTCTCCAGATGTCTTGAATGTCATTCAAAGCTCTTCTTTCTGCCTTTTTCTGCCTTTCTATGCTGTATTTTTTTATTTATGACAGAATCTTTCAATAAATCTCTTTCAATAAATTCCCATTTTCCTTCCTCCTGCTGCTTGCTAGATATTTTATCTTTCATGGCCAGTTCTCTTCAAACCTTAGAGATGATCGTGTGAGAAAATCCAGTAGATCTGCAGCTTCTGAAATCTATGAGTACTTCCCTAAATGCACCGAGTTTCTTCCATGTGATTGGCTGGTTAGATATTCAGTATATAAGGGGAATTATAGGTTCGCTTTAAGTTTAAGTCATCAAAGACTCTCTATAAGGCACTGGAGCTTTTGCTTGTGGTATCCATCAGAAACAGCTGCTGGAATATCTCAGAAAGCAAGATTTCCTTCTCACAGGAAGTTAAAAGTGTGACATTTCTGTGAGGGTGCCTTTTATCTGCCAAGTTCATGTCTTTATCCAAATGTCTGGAGGAAAGAAACATGGCTCGTATCTCTGCAGGTCATTTGGTGTTGTGCTGTGGGAGATGTTGACAGGAGAGGTGCCGTACAAGGATGTGGACTCCTCCGCTATCATCTGGGGAGTGGGCAACAACAGTCTGCAGCTGCCCGTGCCCGACAGCTGTCCAGAGAGCTTCAAACTGCTGCTGAGGCAATGCTGGTGAGCAGACGTGAAGGGAGACGAAATTAGAGGGAAGAAAAAAGATAAACTCGTTGAGAGGAAAGATGCTTTAAGAAGGTGGAAAGAATAAATGTCACACACAGAGGGGGACGCTAATAAAGCCATGATTTAAACTATTCACAGGAACTGCAAGCCCAGAAATAGACCTTCGTTTCGACAGATTCTCCTGCATCTGGACATTGCCTCAGCGGATATATTGTCAACCCCACAAGAAACTTATTTTAAGTCTCAGGTAAGCTTCTTTTGCCCTTTTTATAGTTTCATTATTCTCTTCAGACAATCTGACCTGAATGGAAGATGCTCACATGCTTTCTTACGTTTCTTTTTAGCTTCTCTCTCTTCTCTCTCAGTGCACTCACAGGTGTATTGTTATAAGATTGACCCAAGGAAATATGAACCAGACCACAGAGACGGGCCTTTTTGTTAAGCATTATTTTTCAGAGCCAGTTTACACAACGTTGGGGTCACCCAGTAAAATTCAGACCTTGTAGCTTATTTTTAAACCAAATAAATATTGAGAATATGAGCTCTGTATGTCTGTTCGAACATCAGCCGGCATCACTAACAGTTATTTGTGCCATTTGTTCCCATTGTGCTGCGTAACTACAGCCAGAGCAGGCAGCTGCACACATGGGAGCACTAATAATACCTGTCCTCTCATTCACAACATATTATTGTGAGTTCCTCAGTCTCTGACCGTAGATCAGGACTCGCATGTAACAGGGAATAAAGAAAACATTTTACTGTCTTCGTGATATCACAGTGTAATTCAGTAGCACCGGGTGTCTGCCTCTGAGTGCGCGTGGAGACGCAAGCATACGACAAACATATTCGACCTCTGCAAACGAAACTGGATGAAGGAGAATCACAGATGTATAATTGTGTGGAAGATATGTTGTTGCTCAGCCATGCGGATCCATTTATAACTCAAGCATGTATAATTATGAGACACGCTTGTGCACACAGACTCACAAAATAAATAAGATTTTCTGTCCCTTTTTAGAGTAATCCACTGCTTCTCCCTCTGGTTATATCTCATGGTGCAAAACATAAACCTCTTTCATTTTCTCCACTTATCCTTGATCCTTTATTTCTCCCTGTCCCCCTTCCCCCCCTGCAGCCCTCTGCAGTTTCTCCCCTCTCTGCCCCATAATGGATTTTTCTTGTGACGTTAGAACGAAGTATTTGCTGCTGGAGTGTATTGATTGGTTTAATGGTAGGGAGCTGAGAGCAAGGAGAGAGAGGAGAAAGAGGGGGACTGGAGACAGCAGACTGCAGAGAGTCCATTAGCTTAATAAGAAGAGCATCCTTTATGCACAGATATACACACACATGCACGTGCATGTACACACACACTCATAAATCTGACTTCCCTTGTCCTTTGATATGACAGGTATCAGATAACAGCTGTCATGCTGCACTGTGTACAAAAACAGTGTGTACTGCATTTTTTGTGGTGGGGGGGGTTTGGGGTTTTTTGCCTTTCATGTCAATTCTTGTTCAGTTTTGCTCCATCAGTACTGATTATCATCTGACAGCCTAATGGATTTTGTCTCAGTGATATATACACGAGTCGCTGTGCAAATTATGAGGGTTTTTGGTAGAAGATCAAGGTTGGGTTTACTCATAGCATTGAAATCATTTTTCATTAAGCTCATTTTCATGACTCATAAACTTGAGTCATATAAATTCTCTCAGTGACAAACAGGAACTGTTTCATCTTCCAAGTGTGCAAATCTAATAAATGCAACAGTTAAAAAAACCAGAAAGAAAGGAAAAAAATGTGAATGTGCAATGAAGCATGTTTGATCAGCCCACTGTTCTACTACTGGCTGCTGACCTCTGGTGACTTTATTAATAAAGGTGGCTCTGGGTTTTTGAATGTCTGTACATGCATGTATATTTTAAATTTAATAGCAAGTGCAGCATTTTATCAGGTTGACAAGGATGTTTTTCTACCTGACGTTATAAACTGTTCATTTGCACTTGCACTCGTTCTGATGGATATGTGGTGTTTTGTGTGTTCTGCCAGGCGGAGTGGAGAGATGAGGTGAGACATCATTTTGAGAAGATTAAGTCCGAGGGCACGTGTCTTCACCGGCTGGACGAGGAGCTGATAAAACGGCGCAGGGAAGAACTGAGGTAAGATATACCTCAGTAAGATTGATATTATCATCTGTATTAGTTTATATTTGGCAGTGTAGCTCTGGGCTTCAGCCTCACCGTTTTTCGTGTAAACACATGGAAAGCTGGAGGCAGACAGAGCAGTAGAAACTGAACAGAGTGAACTTTACTGACTGCAGATATGCCTTTAATTCAGAAACAACAGGAAAAGCAAGAGCTGGGGTACAGGTGGGTTGTAAAGTGGCTTGCAGATGCTTAACAAGTGAGAATACACCCTCTATGATATTTGCTAACTGAATGTGGAGACGGGTATTAGCTGATTTGGGACTGTGGCTGAACTAATGCTATAGTGGATTTATGTGAACATCACAGCCTGTATTAAAGTGGAAGTGATATTGAAAGCAGCAAAGGTTGATTAATGGAAAACAGAATGTAAATGCAAAATGTAGAGCAAATAATCAGTTTCTATATACTAGGTGTAGTAGGTAAATATCAGTATTGCCTATTTATAGCCTTCCCCTACTTTCTTCCCCTCGCAGACATGCACTGGACATCCGAGAACACTACGAGAGGAAGCTGGAGAGAGCCAATAACCTCTACATGGAACTGAATGCTATCATGCTGCAGCTGGAGATCAAAGAGAAGGAGCTGCTTAAGTATGAAGACAAACTGCATTGTTCTTAAATTTTTCTTTTTGCAGACTACAGGGTGTATCAGAAAAAATCCTCTGATGTCAAAACGCCATATTTTTAAAGTAGAGGGCACAGACTGAATATAAAGTAATTATATATAAAGAAATTGATGGCTTCACTTATTAAAATACCCTAAAAGCTTTTTAATACATCAGCATCGGTGAAGTAAATAAAAGACGGAAAAGTGAATCTGAAATGTGACATAAGTGGCCATTACATATATAGTCATACGAGGCTATTGCATGTCATAGGCCGCTCTCTTATGCTCAGTGACATCCATTAAAGGGGTATTGACTTTGTGTTTAAACATTAGGAGGGAGCAGTCACTGGACAAGAAGTACCCAGGCTGCTTCAAGCACCACAGTACCAGACAGTCAGCCTCCTCCAATTCCATGGAGAAGCTCATGAAGAAACGTAATGTACCTCAGAAACTGCCCTCGCACAGCAAGAGGTGAGGCGACAAGGAAGATGTCTCGTCCTGTAGTTTATATAGCAATAATTTGCTAATAACATTTGTCTGTTTTTGTCCTTTCCAGGCCAGACTTACTAAAGTCAGAGGTCATCCTCCCTAAGCTGGACTCGTCCATGACCCAGGTCACAATCCCCAACAAGGGCTCTACCTCCCCCGGCCGCTCACGCCGAGGAAAACCTCGCTACAGAAAGGCTGGAAAAGGCAGCAGTGGCGACCTGGCTCAGCTGAAAGCCACTCTGTCCTCGTCTTTAGCAATGATCAATGCAACCTCGTCTGTTCCCAGCAAGCACCGTCTAGACCCCAGCGCAGCCCTCAGGGGCTTACAGCATGACCTTCTACTCAAAAAGATGTCCTCCTCCAGCCCCGATCTTATTTCTACCACTCTGGAGGTCGAGGGCAGGAGGAAAGGCCAGGTGAGATCAGGGCTGGACAGAGCGGGCAGTCAGAGCGCCTCAGCTGGGCTGGAAGAGAGCAGAAGGACTGATGGGCCAGAGCGGGGCCCTGACGTGGGTGTAGGCGGGGATGACTTGGCAGAAACGCCTCCACGCAGTGATACACCGAGCGAAGACGCGGCATCTATTCCTTTTTCCAGTAGCCCTGACTCCCCTTGTGGCAGAGGAGCAGCGGCGGGCAGGGCGTCCGCACTCGGGAACACTCGTGTCACCCACGAAGGTGAGGAGAAGGAGGAAGGGACGGTGATTACACGCTCGCCCAGAAGTCAACGGCTTACGCCTTCAGCACTGCTCTACAGGGCAGCAGTCACACGCAGTCAGGTGAGAATTTAATACAGCTTGTATGTCAACATATTTCTGTCTGAAGCTCGGAGCCATAAATCTCCACCTAAATAGCACAGACGTACACCAACATATATCAGTATTTCTGTCCATATTTGATCAAAGGGCTCTTTAATCTATTCAGAATTATAATTATAGGAGTTCACCTTTCGCGGTCTTGCTGTTTTCGCTGATTTTTTTTTTCTTGTGCACTTTTGGATGCTTTTTTTTTTTTACAGCGCATTGTATTCTGCATCCCGATTGGCTGTAGACCACTGTCAATCTCGTGCCATGCCTCCTGTACAGGATGCGTTCAGCTTGTCAAATTTACATAAATCTTTGCTTGCTAGCAGTGTGACTCTGAAGTGCTGCACTGTATGTTTGTAAGTTTTCTTCCCAACGAACACAACAATCTCAACAAGAGAGAAAAGTGTGAAAATGTTTATGCCTGTCTGAGAAAAGTTTATAAAGTGCGTCGTGAGGGGTTTTACAGCCTTAAAACATCTATAATTGTAAAAATATAAAGTTGGCTACTTCGTGGATTTCACTTCTCGCGGGTTATTTAAAGAACGTAACTCCCACGATAAACAAGGGACCACTGTGTAGTATTTTCTGATTTACTGAGTGATGAAAAGAGATGCGTTTGAATACCGAAAACTTGAATTTATGTACATGAACACTACATCAGGAAAAAACTTGAGGTTTCACATTAATATCTGTTGGTTTAAATTTCTTCTCTATTCAGCTACAATGTCTCCCCTTACTTTGCTCAATATACAGTCACCGGACACTTTATTAGGTACCTCTTTCTAGTCTTGGATTAGGTTTCTTTGTCCTTTGCAATACATTCAATAATGTGTTGTAAACACTGATCAGAGATTTGGTCCATATTGACATGATAGCATCACAATTACTGCAGGTTTATCAGTTGCACATCCCAAATCCCCCCTTTCACCGCCTATTAGATTGAGATCTGGTGATTGAAGCCCATTTGAGTGCAGTAAAACTCATTGTTATGTCTAAAAAACCAGTTTGAGATGATTTGAGCTTTGTGACATGGTGCATGAGCTTGCCATCAGCCATCAGAGGATGTGGTCATGATCAGGAACAATACTCGGGTATGCTGTGGGTTTGAAACGATGTTCAGTTGGTACAAGGGGTCCAATATGTGCCCAGAAAATATCTCCCACCCCATCCTGCTTTTGCTTGATCAGTAAACATGGGATGAATCCAAGCTTTCATGTTGTTTACACTAAATTCTGACATTACCATCCAAATATTGCAGCAGAAATTGAGGCGTGGGAGCATTTTTTTTTTTTCCAATCTTCTATTTTCCATTTTTGGTGAATGTGTGCAAATTACAGCCTCGGTTTCCTGATCTCAGTGGACAGGAGTTAGCACATGGTGTGGTCTTCTGCTTCCAGGATTGATGTGGTGTGCATTCAGAGATGCTCTTCTGCATGGCTTGGTTGTAACAAGTGGATATTTGAGATACTGTTGCCTTCCTATCAGGTTGAAGCAGAGAGATGATTGTGCAGAAAAATCGCTGTAAATCAGCAGTTTCTGAAACACTTAGATCAGCCTGTGTGGCACCAACAACCGTGTCACATTCAAACCGTGTCACTTAAGTCACATGATGCTGTTTGAACTTCGGCAAGTCATCTCGACAGGCCCGAATGCCCTGAGCTGCTGCCATGGGATTGGCTGATTAGATATATTCGTTAATGAGCGCAACTTCCTTCTTTCCATTAGGTGCAACTCATTTAGATAAACACAACTAACACAAAAAACTCGAACCTTAGTAAAAAGTAAAAAATTCAGTGGGGTTACGGTCCAATGAAATTGGAGTCAGTTATTGGTTCTTGTGCACTGACTGCTCACGTGGTTGCACCTTCAAAAGTCTGTTTTATGTGTTCTAGCCGAATAGCGTGAGATTGTTTTATCTATTCTCAGACTTATCAGACATCTCAGCTCAATTAAGTCTAATTACAGCACATTGGAAAATGCTTTTTCTCCACAGAGACGTGGAGTGTCATCAGAGGAAGAGGAAGGAGAAGTGGACAGTGAAGTGGAGTTGCCGAGGAGACGGTACTTAGTGCATTTTCATACTGCTGCTTGTTGTGTATCAATATCTGTATGTACTATCCTTTAGCCATGGTCATTGACATACTTGCGTATTCTCATATTGCGTACCCTTTCAGGCGGCCTGTGAGCATCACCAAATGCCAGTCCCTGTCGACCTTTAGCTCAGAGAACCTATCGGTTTCGGACGGTGAGGAGGGCAACACTACTGACCACTCCCACAGCGGTACGCCCGACGTGGTCAGCACCAACACAGACGAGCGACTGGATGACAAGAGCGACGACCTGCTGTCTCAGGGCTCGGAGATTCCTGCTGACCCGTCTGACCCGACTCAGCTGGGCTCCGATGGTCTGTCTGAAAAAGAAGCCATTCTGCAACAAGTCAAGACGCAGCTCGCCTCAAATGACCCCAATTATGAGGTAAGGCAGAAAGAGTGAAATGTAGTATAGAGGTCTGATATCTGCCAGATACACAAACATCTTTTCTGGCAAGGAGATGATAAATTATCCTTCTATAATCTGTTCATTTTCTGACTCCTGATTTTCCTCCAAACCAGGGCCTGTATGATGACTCCGACTGTGACAGTGCAGAACTGGACCATTCGTGCACTGCAGACCCCAGTCAACCTCCAGCCAACTGGTGAAAACCGGGCAGCTCTAACCCACTCCACCACCTGCAGACCTGGCCTCTCAATACCTCCTTCACTCTTAGAAACTCTGAGTCATTATCAGGGACATCGCAGAGAGGCAGGAAATTGAGCAATGTGTTCTTAACCACATATCCTGGTTAAGGAAACAAAAAAAAAAAAAGGAAAGTCGCATTTCCTTTGGAGATGAATGCAGCACGGCGATGTGACAGCACCTTTTGTTCTCTGAAATCGCATCAAATGACACCTCAGCGACACAAGCTTCGATCAAAGAGGCGACGTCTGCACCGTCTGTTGTCATGTTGTTTTCGTGTCCTCCATCATAATTCATGTCCGTTTTTTATTTTTGTCCTAATGAAAATGATCATGAAACTATTTAAATGTCACGATCACTGGAGACGACCAGTGTCGCTCTTTTTACTTATAATTTATGAAATCTTCTGACTTGTCGTCTTTAAAAAAAAAACAACTTATGCACTGTTTAATTTATTAGAAAGAAAATAATGTTTACATCTTTTTGTGCCGTTTACATTTTTATTTATAAATCATGTCATAGATTACGTTTCCATTTCCTACTTCTGGTTTTAATATCGGTGTAAATATGGGATGTAAAATGAACAAATTTTTAAAATGTGAGATTGTATAATTTAAGGTGCTGATGTTTCTAATTAGGTGGAACTATTTTATTTGAAGCTCTCGGTAGTAGAATGTACTGTAGCTGCTGTTCATGTCCGAGCATCCAAACAGGAAAAGGAGGAACAAACATGTGAACAAGGAAAAGCAATATGTCTGCTCTGGTCTCACAGCCGGGTTCTTTTAGGACAGATGAGCTTTTTAAAAAAATACTTATCGCACGTGTTTACTGTATTTAAAAATGCAAGGTCATTTTAAAACATATTCCCCCGTTTATAGCATTGAGAAAAAGCATGCGAGTGAAATAGTAGGGACACCTTACTGAAGTCAAACGCCGTCTCGGCTCCAACATGAGAACATCTGCAGAAATTTACACCCTCCAGTGCCGAGTAACTGAAGGCACAAGAAACGCCAATACAGATCCTACAACGTGGTAATTTTAGAAGCCGAAAATCATTCATGCAAAAACCCGTTTGTGTCCAGTAACTGATTCATCTCTGGCAGAAACATTACATCTCAACATTTATCTCTTTAAATGTGAACATTTTGGACCCAGACGTTGCCATTTTCATGCCTACTTAATTTGGCCAATTTTATTTATAGTCTACTCTCAACATAATCATCGACCTCGCCGGCTGAAAACTTCGCCATCCAATGGTTATTTTTCACTCTTGTAAGGGCTGCGTCATAAACTGACACCTAAAACCCTTGTTTGTGTTTGTTCTCCTTGGCAAATGTCCTTAATGTGCGCCTGAATCTGACCGTACAACAGCACATCACGTTATTCCATGAATCCATGACTGATCAGGTCTCACTCTATAAGCTAAAAATACAAAAAGGCAGCTTATTTTGTTCATCTTTGAAAAGAAAGAAAGAGACAGGTTATCTTTTGCAGTTTATATTTGTAGAAAGATTTTACAGATTGTGGCCCCGAAGGTTTGAAGCTAGAAATCCTCCTGCAGGATTAAAATGTTGCCAAAAAGCAAGACTACTGCCCTCTATTGTCCAATCGTGGAGGTACTCATGTTTCCCATGATGCTCACTGAAAGCAACCCTGTTAAATGTTGGCTTTTTATACTGCATTATCGTAACTATATTTAAAAAAAGAAAAAAAATGAAATACCGTTAAAAATAAATTCAAACTTGTAAACCAAACGTGTGGTTTCACTCTCCTTTCACACGGTGACAAAACTCGCGAGAGGGTTTGTGGTTTAAGCATTTCACATCTTTATTTCTGTATTCTTTTTAAACAACGTGGCACCCAGATCTACAGTCTCAAAGGAAAAGAAATAAACGTGCACAAAAGTTTTTCCTTTCCTGCAAATAAAAAATAAATTCTTGAGCAGAGCAAAGAGCAGGAAACTAGTGTTAACTCACAACCTTTTCTACTTCCAGAGCATCAGTGATTTCACTTCTTAGCCTCATTACATTTAACAGATCAGTGTCCAGGAGTTCACCCCCCCCCCCTCCCACCACCCTACTTTGGTAGTTAAGAAAAAAAATATTTCCTCCATTTAAAACAAATATTCCAACTTTTAGTATATAATCAGTCTTTACAAAAAAAGCGAGGAGAACCCTCTGCTTCCAATCCCTAAAGCCGACCCCAAATCCCCAAAAAACAAAACAAAACCTCCCATCCCAGCAGAATATCAACACATGATCTCAGGACAGGAGCGGGAAGGTTTAGGAATGACATGTAAAGGGAAGAAACATGACATGCGGAGTCATACACACTTTAAATTATCTGGATAAATTCATCTGAGTGTTAGAACATTTACTAAATAACCAAATATAATTTGTGACGGTGCATGTACAGCTACGTGTTCTCGTCAGTGACACAAGTGCAATCCATGTTACAAGCACTTCAATTGAAACGGTGACAAAGGGGGAGAATGCTGTGTATATCTGAAGCAAGTAAGTACAGGTATTAAATGGACAAACTGACAGGTGGATCTCAGAGAGGGGAGGAGAAAAACAATTTTTAAAAAAAGGAGTGGGGCGTATATAAACACAGAATAAAACAGTCACTCTATTCTTATTTTTGATACTTTTTTATTTTTCCTTTTTTGTCTTTTCCTTTTTAAAGAAAAAAAAAAGCTGACTGTACAGAACTAAATCTATGTCTATTCAGAGTTTTTCCAACTCATGTCTCTGATGGCAAAGAAAGAAATGGAAAGAGCGAGATATCCATCAAGAAAAGAAAAATGCCTAAACAACAAATCATTAAAACCTCTGACTGGACTCCAAAAAGGGAATTTAAAACCTAATCATTTGCTTTGTATGACTAAAACCAAAACAAAGAAAATAAATAATGAACTCAGCGGATCAAATCAGTGGCGGTTGACATAATTTTTTTTGCTTTTGTTTTTTTTAAATGAGGAAGAGGCAGTATAATATATAAACTCTTAACTTGGATAGTTGCATTGACTGCTTAATCATAGCCGATGATATAAAAGTGAGATTTAGTGCAGATGCAGTGTCTTATCAGTTGGCTGCCAGTCCAGTGGCCTCAGAGGAAAGCCTGGAGAAACAGACAGAGACACCCAGAGAGCAGGGAGGGAGAGAGTAAGGCATGCAATCAGACAGACAAGATAAACAACAATATCATTATGTACATTTATATATATATATATTACTATGATAAAATTATCTGGATTCATTTAGCAGGAAAATTATGATTATACATAGAAAAACAAAAATTAGATGTTCAGTTTGAGCTCCTGCTGCCAGTGAGAGGGTCTCTTAACCAACAGCTGATCAAACTTACTGGTTTGCAAATGGAGCCGCATTAAAGAACTGGTCAAGAGTTGGATGAGATGATTCACTCTGGTGCCACTTGATACGGGCCCTTCTAGGTTAAATGAAACTCTGCACAGCACAAAAACTGCAACCGAGAGGAAACCGCAAGCCCGACTCTCTGCAACCACCACATCACAGTGAAGAATATATGAAGGGCGCTATCTGAAAACTCAGATGCCCTCATAACCCAAGTTTCACAAGCCAAACAAACTCTGCACAGGCTGTGGATGCATGCAAATAGTCTCTATGAAGAGAAAGAGGAGGACTGCTTTTCCCTAAATGTAATGTAAACAGCCAATTCAACGTCAGGTCAACTCCAGGCCTTAACAGCTGGAGTCCTGCAGGTTTTAGATAACACCCTGAGTCAAATGATTAGTTCATTACCAGGCCTTTGGAGAACTTCAAGAAATATTGAGGAGGAAATTTAGCCATTTAAATCAGCTGTGATGGATCAAGGACACATCTAAAACCTGCAGGACACCGGCCCTCGAGGCCTGGAGTCGAAAATGCATCTGCACTTGTAAACAATTACAGGCACACAGAACTGGAAATGCTGAACCGGATAACTGTTATCTGCTATCTGACCCATGTGGCTACAGCGGAAGCCCTGAATAATTTGCGGCTGCCCCTGAAGACCGAGTCTGCAGACTAGCCGACGAGATCAAAGCCTGCCTAATGCCTTATTGTTCTAAAACCCGAAGCTCCTCGTTTACAGCTCTGTGTGACAAAGGAAAGCAGTGACACTTCACGTTGTGAAGCTGAAGTCTTCTTTCGGATGCAATCGATCATCTGCCTCCATCTTACCCTATCCCTGGGATCCTCACCGAGCCTCTGCGTGTCATCCTTCACTACATCCATGAATCCTCGTTGTAGTCTCCCTCTTTTATGGCAGCTCCATCTTCAACATCTCCAAACCATACATCGCAGCAGGCCTCACTGCCGCCTTCTAACCCTTCTCTTTCACGCTTGCTGCTATTCTTTCATCACTCATCTCCACCCCGCCTGCACTCTCTTCTTCACCTCCCTCGTCTGTTGCTTTGGGTGGATGACCCCGGGTATTTAAACTCATCTACCTTCACTACATGTCCGTCTTGCTTTTACTGACTTTCATTCCTCTTCTGCACAGTTCACACTTCCACCGAATCTGCCTACAGATCACAATATCGTCTGCAAATATCACAGCTATGAAACTAATATTTACATATTGGTGAATTTCCTTTCTTAAAAACCAGCTAATGAACTAGGCTGTTCATTTATGTAGAGTCGGGCTTGTCATTTCTACCATGAGATAAAATAGTCTAAGGAACTCTTGGCTACAGAGTGTGCTTCATACAAGATTAATGAGAGGGCTAGGTCTTCTCGTCCAACTCTTTGCAAGAAGGTGACCAGATATTCCCTAAAAGATCAAATTATTCCTTTCATGATTTGCTAAATCAGCTGCTTTAAGCTAAAGCAGATGGACGTTTTTGTATTTGTACCAACATGACAAAAGGATGATTTGGTGGCTTTGATACCTGAGGGTACTTTGAATTAATTTCTTACATAAGCAAAAATAATAATAATAATAAAGTCATCAAGATGCAATCCATTACAACAGCTAACAACAGTCACTTAAAATTCACTACAAGAAAACTTCTCATAAATACAATGTGACATCTTAAAGAGAGCCGCTACCTGAGCAGAGCTTACACAAAGAGAGAAATGCTTCAGTTAATCAGTGAAATAATTCCCTGCCCATGCTAAGTTCAAAGTTGTTCAAAAATATAATGCACTCAACATGTCATTTCTTTAGCAGACGAGTGAAGTCAAGCTACAGATTATCTATCTTAGAAATATGGCGTCGTCGACCATCTTTCTGGCTTTGTAACAATGGGCTGTTCGGTAGTAAGCGTGGCATGGCACAGCCAGATACAAAAGCAAGTGCAGGTACGGACAATAAGGAGCATTGTCGGTACTTCAGTAGTAGATGACTTATGTTTCCTCGGTTAGTAAGGGGAGAGCCTTCGCCTTTTAGACTTGGAGCCCAGCTCTGAGGCAATTTTGGGCTCAGTGGGAATTGGGTGTGCAGGGTTACTGGCCCCGCTGACAACATGGAGGGCCAGGAGAGGGAGGGGCTTGAGACTGAGGAGACTCGACACACAGGCAGGAGAGCTGGGGAGCAGGGAATCGGTGGAGGAGGTAGAGGAGGAGGAAGAGGAGGAGGGAGGAGGCGGCCCTGGAGCCAACAAGGACAGAGGGATGGAGGCTGTGGGGGGCACCACACAGGAGGAAGAGGAGGAGGAGGAAGAAGAGAAGGAGGAGGTAGCAGCAGAGGAGGTGGTGGTGGTAGTAGTAGTAGTGGTGGTAGTAGTAGTAGTAGTAGAGGTGGAGGGAGGGCACAGGCTGGTCTGTTCAGGGTTCAAGGAGGAGGAGGGAGGAGGTTTAGAGGACTCTACACTGTAGAAAGAGAGACAAGGAGAGAGGGACAACACAGTCGGGATGGGTCACAGGGCAGGCTGGTGAGCAATGGGTGGGGGGGATAGGGGCAGGAGGAGGGATGGGGGTAGGGTGTAGGGGGAAAATCACTCAGGGATGTGACCAAAACACGAGACAGAAAGCATCAGTTACAAATCAGCAAGGAAAAATAAATAACATATCTAGTGATGGATCAGTGTGGGAGGACAGAAAAAAGAAACCGACACAAGTGCAGACTGACAGAGAGCTAGCAAACACCACAGTGATGGTTAGGAGTTAAAAGAAAAGCCAGTAATCACTACAATCAATCATCTGCACATAAATCCAAAGAGTAAGGGTGGATGCAGTCGAGCTATCTGTGTGACAAAGTAAATAAAGCTTTTCAGCAATTACTGCAGCTGTGCGGCATTAGTGGAGTTAAACGTGCTGAAAGATTACATTTAAACAGAAAATTATCTTTCAGGCACGCCCACGTGACCCGACTTTTACATCTAGCCCCTGCAATTTCAAGTAAACCACCCCGGTGCAGACAAATAAGTCGACTTAAACTGAAACTAACCCCATGACTGAATCAATTACCCATCTAGAGTTAAAGTTCTTTTCTTTATTATCTCACCTGGCGTTGATGAGGTACTCCGCCAGACTAATGCTGGCAGGCGAGCCTGTGATGGTAACCTGGCGGTCGGTCGATCCATCCACTGGATTTGCAATCTTGATCTGGGCACCTGACATTTGCCTGATCTCGTTGATCTTGGCTCCCTGGCGGCCAATGATGCACCCAATAAGCTAGTGGAGGAAAAAAAAAAGTAAAGAGAGAGATACAGATGACTGATCGCTGCGATTATGCGTATGTGCAGGGCCTGCTCACTCTTAAACAGACTAACAAGAAGAAAAATCCTCCACAGATGAAGCACTGGGCCCCGCTAATTCTGTGGGATTTAAATCTGTAATAAATGCATGATTTAAATCAATGCAGGGGTAGCAAAAGATACAGAGTCATGTGAAAATAGTTTTCAAAGTACTCTTTGCAGTCCTGTGAGGGGGGGGGACCCAGTACAACCGACGACTCAGTAGCTCACAGAACCACTTTTAGCAGCAGTAACCTGGAAGCAGTCGCTCTCTCTATGACTTCATCTGTGCCTTTTGGCCTGCTCTTTTTTACAACGTGGCTTCAGTTAATCAAAGTTTATGGCAATTCCTAAGTCTCTTAAGGTGCTGCCACAACAGGTTGACATCTAAACTCTGAGCCACTGCACACCAATTCTTTTCTTTTTCAGCCATTCTTGTTGTAGATTTACTGCCGTTCTTGTACGAAGCACATTTGGCCGAGCTTTAACCGTCAGACAGACGGCCTCAACATTTGACTCTAGAATACTTTGGGAGACTCATGCTTGACACTTTGATTATCAGCTACTGGCTGCTCCTCAGCCTCTTAATTCCCATGGAAGCTGTAAGGGTGTTTTCACAGGAAAGCATAGAGTCCTGTGATATTCTCCTTGTTCACATGACTAAAAGTCCTAATTCTTAAACTTTGTGTCCAGGTGGTCAGGAGGTTTCTGGTACATCTAACATGAAATGCAGATTTCTAACCCACAGCAAGTGGGTGTCATATGCAAACCCTGCCCGAACTACCCAGGCAACTCCATCAGCCCTAACAACAGTGAAAATGAGCCTGAGCAGGACCATTTACTGCGGGTTGCTGCATTTGAGAAATGAAAAAAAAATAATAATAAAAATTTAAAGATAATGTGTGAAAAAGTCTTTCTAGTCTTCAGACACAACCAATGATGCTTCCACTGACCAACATGCAGTGTTATTTTTAATAGTGTTTGGGATGAAATTCACTTCCTGAAGGACTTACATCATTTGGAATGGTCATCTCATGGGAACTGGTTTGAGCAGAAGCATCCATCCCTGACAAAGAAAACATGAAAGTGCTTTAAACGAACCATAAAGAGAAGGTCCTTAAGATACATGAAGTATAAAGCAGGTAAAATTGTAATTATGATAATTTTTAAGTCACCAAAATCAATTTGAAATGAACTCATTAGCTAATTATACTACGTTACTGACACAGTCAACTCACACTGACTCAAGATCAAAACGATTTGTTAAAAGGCAAAAAAATTAAGATGTCCGATTAGAAAATAACAAAAGACCACACGGGGCTTTCCTAGAGCTGGGCGATAGAATGATAACGATATGTATTGCGAAATAACTTTTTCTCGATAGAAAAATT